ATTCGGGTATCAGTTTTTTTATAATGTTATTTTAATTATGCTGTTTCAATGTTATTTATAAATATTCCAGTTCCATACTGAGCTTACAAAGTTTTGCCACATATGTATTAATAACAAATTTTTACTGTGCTACCATTCACTTTTATTTGCGACCTAATATTATCCATCTCCATTAAAAAAGGAAAAAAAAAATGTCAGTAGAAATGTTTATCTCCTTGCAGAAGCAGAAGTAATTTCAAATCTTGTGCTGCACGTTGGAACTTGTCTTCCTTAATTCAATGAATGCCTCTTCACAATATCAAAGGAATGAAACTCAAACAGCTTGCAATGAGAAGAAAATATAAACCATGTGTTCCAATGTACTTTCTCTAATCCAGGTAATGTTCTTTCAGCTCCCAGGTAAATTCCAGGTATGAAATCCAAGAAAACATCAAAGACGTCTTGCAATAAAGCCTCATCCTTTTTCACATCAAATAATGCTCATGCATTTGAAATGACTCTGTCGTCAAGCAGTGCGCAGCATCTTTGAAGTCGGAGCTTCTGAATTTCTATTCAAACAGAAGTCTCTGTATGTCCTTTATTCCACCCAGTATGTGACTCCTCCCAGTTTGTGAATCATTTTGAAATTCTCTTTTTACACTGGCAACTTGCAGGGTGCACAGCAGCATAGGACTGTTTACACACAGGTATTTAGCGACCCAGGTTCACCTTGAAAGGAATGTGGCCCTTACAGTTAAATCTTCTCATAATCTCCTAATCCACTATGATGGCTGTTTTAAATCCTCCATGGACGATAGGTCACAAATGAAGCAGCATCATCGGTACATTATGTATTCCTTTTGAAGTCCAAGGAGTTTCACCTTGTGGAAGCTCAATCCCTTTGTCAAAGTTAGTTTGTGTGAAATGTAGACTCCCAGCCGAAGATTACGCAAAGATTATGACAGGTTAATCTGTGGAATAATTCAGCCATATAACTCCTATGGCAGTCCAAATCCCATGTTCACACAGTTAAATGTAATCTTCCTATAACAGCCTCAGAGCAACTTAATTACTGCCGCTATTACTCAAACAACATATCCAAAATCATGTCTCCTCTTCTTTAACACAATTTCGTTCAGTGTCATCTTGTGGTGCATTCCGTCTTCTGGCTTAATTTTCATTCTCATCACTAATCACAAGGTGCTATGAGATACATTTTCTATTACAATTTCTTATCCACTGCGGTGTTTGGTTATTCATCACATCAAACTGTAGCATTATCTGTGCTTATCCCAGTGTCCTCAATATGGCTCTAAAAGGTGTGGACCTTTTACACATTTTAACGTTGCCAGATATATCACCTATTTTTTCAACGCCCCTGCTGTAACATTTCTCAGCATGAAAGAAATATCCGGCAGGGCAGACTGTTCTGTCTCTCTCTCTCTCTCTCTCTCTCTCCTTTCTTGTGTATTCTAGACATGGTTCGACCCTTCATTTTCAGGCATCCTGTTATTGTTAAAAACTTGAAAATAAATCTGCAGGATCTATGGGTTCTGAAAACTACTTCTTTCATCCCTGGATGACAGGGCGTGATATAATATGATGCAATATGATATGCCACCCAAGAAGCCAATCTGATAAATTTTTGAGTCTCCTGTCATAATTTTCACTCAGCACTCTGATGTGTATCCGTCTCAGATCTGATACTGTAATTATTCAATAAATTTGCATAAAACTGATTAAATATCGTTCCAAAATGATGCTCAGTCACGCATTTCCTCAACAAAATGATTTTAAAGATCTGAAACGCAAGTCTGTTTCAGGTGAAGAAGCCTTTTTCCATATCTACAAAACATGATCAATTTTGACTGAAGAAAAAAAAAAACTCAGAAACGTGAAGTTTTTGACTTTTGTGAGGAAATACCACATCATACCATTGCAGATGGAAACTTCCTATCCTTTCTCTTTTGAACTGACAATCATTCACAGGCCTAACAAGAAATCCCTCCTCTATTTCTATTACACAAGTAATAGCTATAACCACTATGAAGTGTCCTCATACAGGTGAATATGTAATTTACCTGGGTGACAGGTATGCTATCTAGGAAGATGGCCACCGGGATAAGATGACTTGATATGCAAGTTGAAGACATACTAACGGAGATGTCTGCTGTCATATTGATCAACTTTGGGTAAGTTTCCTTGAACTGACGGAAGCCATTTTTGATGAAGATATTACCCACCCAAGTTTTCACACTAGAATATTATAAAAACAGGCATTTGGCAGATGATTGGATTGGACCAAGTAACAATGACGTACTTCATGAAAGCAAATGATGCTTCTTTCAACACAGTTAATGTTTAGTCTTAAGCTTACTTTAATACCCCTCTATCTCTCTCTCTCTCTCTCTCAAAGACCCAACTAGTACATATATTTCTGTTGAGAAAAACTCATTTGAAGGCCCTACTAGTACACTGTGAAGTGTCCTGTCCCATACATAAGTCTTCAGCCAAAGCATAACATTAAAGCCATTTTCACTTCAACTTTAAAAGGTGCATTTAACTTCTCACCTGAACAAGTGCTATCAACCATGACTCACCTCTTTTAAAGCTTAAAGATCCTGTTTGTGGCTCCAACTGACCACTGCACCCACAGACAATGAATCAAATTATAAAACTGGACTTTTCAAACCATACACTGACCAGTAGCAATATGATTCTAATAAGTCACTAGTCTCTTTGCTCTGACTGTGAGCCGTTTAATCTCCAGCTACTGACTTCCTGTGTACCTTTACATAGTTTTTCCCATTTGCATGCTGAGTATGGGAAGTCCTTCCTTGTGGGCCAATTGTTTGAGGGAGAGGTATAAGGGAAATTTATTTAAGAATACAACTTTTGTTAAAAGCAAAGGTTGATTTTATAACTATTTTTTTTCTATTCCTGTAACATCTAAATTAGAAATTACAGATATTCTTTGTTTTTGCATTGCATTAGCCAAACTGATGAGTTAACAGGCTAAAACTTGGGGGGGGGGGGGGGGGGG